TATTATGACTTGACCTAATTTTTCCATATTGTCTTAGACCCGCATGTAAGCTTTATAGGAGCTATATCAATACTTATATCCTAATCTTTATTTAGTTGACAACTCCATTGAAACCATTAGTTCCCCCTGATAGTGAATGGCTCCTAAGGAACCTTTCCAATTTAGTTGTTGGCACTCTTATTCATTGTAGATTCCCTTCTATCCAAAAACTTTCGTAGCCTTAGCTATAAACTTCCCTTCTTAACCTTTAAGTCAATTTCTCTTCTTAGCTATTAACAATAAGTTATCTTTTCGACCTTTTCACTAGGCCTTCTCATCTCCTTACTGAGCTCTCCTTCTTTCCCTAAGTTGAGTTCCTCCTTGACCTTGATGCTAATGTCACCTTTTCAAACCCCACCATCAAGTTCTTTCTCAACCTTAATTGCCAACATATAGTTATCGACCTTTGATTGACTTTCTTGTTGCCTTCGGCTAACTTTCTCATCATTAATGGCCACGACTAGCCCTCATGAGGTTAGATGATATTTTCCAAAATATTCTTTTCAATATTGTTGGGTTTGAGAAAGGTGCCTTGCATTTGACATCATCCTCATAACATACACCCTTATTTGTCTCATCTTGATATCTTTCCCTTTTGGTGAAATAGACTATATACTCAAGATGTATGACCCAGCATTTTGCCAAAGCTTCTAATTGATGCCCATATCCTCATTAGTGGTGCCTCATTGTATAAACAATACAATTGTTACCTCCCCTCCACCATATATTTATAATTTATTTATTTATTTCAATTGTGAAAGTAATTGATGCATCAAGGAAGGGGGGTGAATTGGATATTTAAAAACTTCTTTAACGAAAAGAAAAAAAAAATTATAACTTGATGCTAAAGCGAATTACATTCAAAATAAAAAATAAATTATCAATTTCACCCACGTAGTTAATCAAAACAAAATTAAATGTGGAAATAAAGTGTGAAAATAATAAAGGAAAGACCACACCAGATTTATAATAGTACGGTCAAACCTTGACCTACGTCCACTCCCTAAAGGAACCCTCTGAGTATTGCACTAAATCTTTAGTGACTCTCATTTAGCCCCCACAGCTAGGCGGAGAAGCCCGTACAAAATCACTTCCACCTTCTCCAGTGCGTCGGAGGAGCCGGGTCTTTTGACACCAAGGAAATCTTCTTCTTCCCAAAACTTTCCTCAAGATGAACCTTGAATCCGATGGTACTAAGGTGCAAGCTTGCCAGAACAACTGTGTGAAATCACCTCCACACTCCCTTGAAACCCTTTCCAAGAATCTTCTCCATCTCAAAATCCACCCTTTTAAGTTCTCTCTTCAAGTTTTCTCCAGAAGAACAAAGACACAATGGCTTCCAAAGACTATTACAATGTCATATGACAAAGCTTAAATAGAGGGCTTCAAAAAACCCTAAAAATCAATTAAGTCATCAAATATCATACAGTACGATCTCATAATTGTCTAGTAAGATGTGCATAATTTAACCTATTAGTACTATACGAATAGTTCAATTTGCAAGTTAGTACTGTATAAACAGTTCAATCAAAAAGTAGTTTGTTTAGGATGAAACATGGGGCGAATAAAATCATCTCTATTGATCATAAAGTATGATCCAGTTCGTACAGTACGATCAAAATATCAAGATTAAGCCGATTCAATTGACTAATCACAGGATTAAATTAGGCAATATTTTAAATATTGTACAGTACGATCAAATTCATATAGTACGATTAAAATAACTTTTCACATTCAATTTTTTGTTTAATTTAATGTACGACGGACTTTCTAGTTATAACAGATCGTCAAGTATGATGTAGTGTTCGTATTGTACGATTAGTTATATTTCAAAAATATTTTTTCCACGAAAATAAAATATTTTAATTAATTTTTGTAACATCAGATCGTAGAGTATGATCCATATCGTACAGTATGATATACAGAAAAATTAAAATATTTAAAATCATTTTTGCTCCTCATATGTATGTGCACAATCACCAAGCTAGCATATATCATTACAAAACTTAACATAAGAAATGAAAATTACATACTCATTTAACATAACATATTATACCCAATCTTGAATCCTGAATCTTCAAAAAATGGTGCATGGTGTACCTAAAATATTAGTCAACACACAAACAAAGATGCATTATAAATATTAGGAGAAATAAAGAGGTAATCAATATTATTTGTTATTATCAAAATCATAAACTCGAAAGCCTCAGTTGCAACAAATTGTAGCTTCCTTTAAGATTTTTTGAAAGTAATGTTTATAAGACAATTATTAAATAGTAAAAAAATTATTATCCAAAAAAAATATTACTTTTTATTTGACTATTTTTCTTTAAAAAAAATAGGTTCACAAAATATCTTAAATAAAACCTAATATTTTTTATTTATGGGCTTCATAAATTATGATAAAACTGTTGTTGCCAGGTCCCAAGTCCTGGATGAGAAAAGTGGAGGATTGCTTTAAGTAGTCAACAGCTAGAATAAAACTTGTCGAACAATAATGACATGAATCCTTTAAGAAATTGTGTTAATACTAGGGCGTCCCCTAGAAGCGACGCGTTGTATGGCCTGAATACAGTGACAAGTGTGCAAGAGCCGCTGCACCGGCGCCCGGGTGCAGTGTTAAATAGGCAAGGGTTCCGACATCAAGGACAGATGTGGGCAAAGAAGCTAATCCATGAAACTAAAATTAGGATAGGAACTTGGAATATAGGTTCCCTTACAGGAAAATTAATGGAATTAATAAATATTATGATTCATAGGAAGTTAAATATTTTGTGCATTCAGAAAACTAAATGGGTTGGAGAGAAGGCTAAAGAAATTAATAGTTTAGGATTTAAACTTTGGTATTTGGGTAGGAGTCGTACTAGAAATGATGTAGGTGTTATTATAGATAAGAGTTTAAAGGATAATGTTATAAAAATTAATATGATTGGAGATAGAATTATAATTTTAAAGATTGTTGTTGATGATAAGATTATTAATATTATAAGTGCTTATGCTCTTCAAGTAGGTTTGGATATGAGTTCTAAATTAAATTTTTTGAATGACTTAGAAGAATTAATACAAAAGATACCTCTTGAAGAAAGAGTTTTTATTGGAGGAGATTTAAATGGGCATGTTGGTAGAAAGGTAGATGATTTTAAAAGCATTCATGATGGCCATGGATTTGGAACGACGAATGAAGGTGGCAAGACCATATAGGAATTTTGTTTAGCTTATGACTTTTCAATTGCTAATACCTTTTTTAAGAAAAGGAATTAGCATCTCATCACTTGTAAAAATGGATTGACTATTTACTTATTAGAAAATTAAATTGTTTAGATTGCAAGGATTGTAAAGTTATTCCGAGTGAAAATTTATGTACCAAACATCGATTTTGTTATAAAAACTAGTTTAATTTTAAAAATTCTGATAATTGGGAAATATATAAAGTGGCTCGTAAGGATGCTAAGAAAGCAATATGCGATGCAAAGGCATTAGCTTTTAGTGATTTATATAATAGATTGTATACTAAAGATGAAGAAAGATATATGTATAAGTTAGTCAAACAAAGAGATAGGATTAGTAAGGATTTAGTTCAAGTGAAGAGTATTAAGGATGAAGATCAAAAAATACTTTTCTTAGAAGATGATATTCAACAAAGGTGGATGAGATATTTTGCTAAACTTTTTAATGAAGATTGTGAAAATAAGATTGACTATAGCGACCTTAGCACCCTAAATGAAAATAAAGATTTCTATTTTTATGGGCGTATTAGTAAAACTGAAGTTAGAGAGGCTTTAAAGAAAATGAAGGGTGGAAAAGCTGTTGGACATGATGATATTCCAATAGAGGTGTGAAAATGCTTAGGAGATGAAGGAATTTCATGGCTTACTAAACTTTTTAATACTATTTTGAAGACTAAAAAGATGTCAGATGAGTGGAGAATGAGTCTGTTAATTCCTATTTTTAAGAATAAAGGTGATGCTCAAGATTGTTCGAATTATAGAGGTATTAAGTTAATGTGTCATACTTTAAAACAATGGAAGCGAGTTATGGAGCATATGTTGCGGCGTGATACTAATGTTTCTCAAAATCAATTTGGATTCATGCCGGGTAGGTCGACTATGGAAGCCATACATTTATTAAGAGGTTTGATGGAGAAATATAGAGAAAATAAGGAGGATCTACATATGATATTTATTGATTTCGAAAAAGCATATGATAAAGTTCCAAGAGAAGTTCTATGGAGAGTTCTTGAAAAGAAATGTGTCAATAATGCTTATATTCAAATCATTAAAAGATATGTATGCATGAGCTATTACTTATGTTCAAACACAAGGTGGATTGACCAAGTATTTCCCTATTTCTGATGACCCGGTTAGGAGAGTAGAGGTATTAGATTTGACTTATGTTAAGAAAGGTAGGGGTAGACCTAAAAAAACTTGGTTAGAAAATATTAGGAATGGCTTTTCTTTATTAGATTTAAACGAGAATTTGACTTTTTAAATTACACAATAGAGAAAAAGGATTCATGTAACTGACCCCACGTAGTGGGATAAAAGCTTGATGTTGTTGTTGTTGTTGTGGTGGCGGCTTCATAAATTATGAGTTTCTTGCATATTTTATTTAACTGATAAATATCTCTGCCTAATCAGCTGTATTTAAAAAAAAAATTATTAAATCTATGACTAAAATTTATAATTTAAAAAATAATATTTTTTAATCATTAGGTCATATATTTGAAGTGCACTTTTTGTACCAAATAATGTCAGTCCACAATCCACAGGTTTTTTTTTTTTTTTTATGTGTGGGGATAGTTAGGGGATTCTAGTCCGAATGAGATGGGAAGAATTTCTTCTGTCGATCACTCGACCGCAGACCCGATCTCACACAACCTACAGGTCAATAATAAGTTAAATGTGCCCCCAAAAAAAAAACAAATAAATTACCATCTTCACTGTACAAGAAATTTCTCTCCATACTTAAAAACTTCTTCCAAATATTTTATTTTGTATTAATTAAAATTAGAACATAATATCAATTACAAATAAAAGGACAATCAACTACAAATTAAATTTCACGCATAAAACTATATAACATTTAATTAAAAAATTACAAATAAGACTCGAATTTATAATCACTACCTAAAATTCAAAGAACATTTCACTTGAACTAAAGCTCTTTAATTTTTTGGATAGTTAGCTTATGGGACTAACTATTTTGTGCAATCCAACTTAGCAGTGGGTGATCTGATGGAAGATGGATATAAAAACTTTTTTGCTCCTGTAGCCTCCAAGATTTTTCTACTGAGCGCCTTACTTGAATCAACGCCAGGTTTAGTAAGATAGAATGATCTTGAATACCAGTTGATTATCTCAGGAGCAAAGAACATGATTGCATGAAAAGGTTGGTACCAAGATGGCCAAGTCACATACTCATCACCTCTACATGCACTTTCCACAACAATCTCTGCAAATTTATCTGTGTATCCAACTGGGAAAAGTCCAACCTGAACCTGCATGGTTAATGAAACAGACTTAGAGATAGTATTTTGAGGGAATTTCTTGTAAAATTTATAGAACTTAAAAAAATAATAAGTTCATTTTTTCCTTGATTGAATAGATGTAGAGTTGTTGATGATTTGATCTTGACTAAGTGGCTTAAAATCATTCAATTCAATGATTGCTATATTCGAGTTGGATATGACTTGTTAAATTTGATTCTGAGTAAAAAATCAATCCTACCTTGTCCAATTACAGGTAATTTAAGGCTTCGTTTAAGACGGTTTTCTTATTGTTTCTTAAAACAATTTTTTAGTATAAAAATTAAATTTGTTGTACTAAAAAGCTGCTTTAAAAAGTAGTAAGAAAGTCGTCTCAAACGAATCATAAGACAATATATACATTAGAAGGATAGGAATTGAGCAATAGTTAATTTACTTACATCTCTAATCTCCTCATTGACTCCAATTTCACCTCCTTTTTGAAGAAATTTCCCCTTTGTAAGTTCTGAAGCTACGTATCCTGGTGTCAGTATGGTGATTCGTATGTCTGATCCAAACTCTGCTCTCAGTGTTTCATAGAATCTAATTAGTGCAGCTTTGCTTGCCTATGAAATTGAAATATTAAACATTCAAACATTAGGTTAGATATCTGAGAGAGCAGAAAAGAGAGAGAGAGAGAGAGAGAGAGAGAGAGAGAGAGAGAGAGAGCAAAGATTTCTTCCATTACATTGTAAAAGCTCATTCTTGCAGTGGGAACACGTCCGGCAACTGAAGATGTGACAATGATATTCCCTTGACTATTCTTCAGGTATGGAATAGCGTAATAGGTTGTATATACTGCACCCCAGAAATTTACATCCTACAAAGAGTTAAAAGTTAAATTCCAAGTAAATTGGAACTTAAAAATAATGAAATACTTCTATGTGATTCGATTTTTGATTAATGATGACGTAAGAGAAGACATTGTAGTAATACTAGAAAAAACTGCTATATGAAAAGGAGCATGTCAAGTGAATGAACTCGTAGCTTGTGTACTCACCATAACTTGGTTGAAAGCAGATATGTTGGTGATCTCTTCAAAGAGAGAACTGGAAAGAAGCCCAGCATTAACAACTAGGTGATTCACTGCAATGCAAAGAAGATACTTTGTGATAATAAAGCCAATAAATTTATGAAGTAAGAAATAAATATAAATACTATATAAAATATCACATTGGGCAAAGTGGGCAATGGTTTCTTCAATGACTCTCTTGCATTCTGACTCTTTGGAGATGTCTGCTTTGATCACTAATACATCTGGCGAGCCTTTCCCCAATGCAGCCTTAGCAACTTTTTTTAGTGCGTGCTCTCTTCTGGCTACAAGAACTAGAGAGGCTCCTCTAGTTGCATATTGGTAAGCCAGTTCCTGTTATCAAAATGTTTGTAAGGATTATTATAAATGGGTTTAAAGTAACTATTCGTATAGGGCATTTTAAACAGCTTGTAGCTGATTACATAGAGAAGCTTTATTTGAATAACAAGAAAAGGAGTAAGAAATTAGCAGACTGCATATGTGAGAAAGAAAGAAATCTAAAACGTCATAAATTTAATTCAGTATTATAACTTCTGCATAACGAAAGATTCCTTTCAGAATAATGAAATATAACTTTTGCATACCAGAGCATTTCAAATAGACTGAAAGAGTGCTGAAGATTTATGTTCTTAGCTCTAGATTTTTTGGTACATAAAGAGCTGAAGATTTTTTTTTTTTTCATAGAAAAATTAATCTAAAGAGAAGACCATAGAACCAATATCCGATTATAAGCTTACACTATAGATGTAAAGTCTAATGATGAATCCTACTGGCATGCTAACCCATTTTGCGCAAATGATGAACCCTAGTGGTGCAACAACTTGTTTAGTGCTCTTCACAAAGTTGTCCACATGTCAAGCTAAATGTGAGTTCTGATTTGACCGGTTTAGCAATACTGGCTAATTTGATTCATAAAAAGATAAAGAAGAAGCTAATGTGGTACCAACTAAAATCAACCTAACTGAATCATTCAAGACTTATTAGACAATCTCAAGGTTCTTCACCCAAGTCTCTATTACCAAGTCTCTATTAGATCAAAGTTGTCAATAGGAATAACACAACATATCGGCCAAGAACATCTCTTTATCTTGATCAGATTCATTACTTGAACCTTAGAAGATTTCCCTTTTTTGTCCTAATGACACCACAACTATGGCCATCAAGCTAACCACTCAAAAGATACAACTAGCCAATTATTGTATGAGAAACTGCCACACCAAAAAATTCTCTATTTGACTCTCCTCCATGTCTCGACATTGTTATCATGGGCTAATTGTCAATTAGTCATTCGATCATTTCATGTTTTTCAACGGATAATATATTTTCCAGGCCTGCCCGATGTACCACATTCTCAATCACTACCAAAGTAGTTCTCTCACAACTTGCATGGTGATCTCCCCTTGTATACCCTCAAACTTTAAATAGCCTTAAACTAGGAATTGAGCTAAAATTACATTCTCCTTAACCTCAAAGAGGGTTTTGCCTTATGTATCACATCCTTCACCTAAGTGATTTGCATAGCCTCAAACCAGGACTAATTGTCAATCACTCATTCAATTATTTAATGTTTTCCACCATACAATTGACCTTCTCCAAGCTTACCCGATGTACCACATCCTTTACCCCTATTAGAGTGGTTCCCTGACAACTTGCATGACGATCTCCCCCTATAGCCTCAAACCATGCATAGCCTCAAACCAAGACTTTAGCAAAAATTACCTCCTCCTTCACCTCTAAAAGGGTTTTTCAAACCTTTATTGAGAAATACTCCTTAAAAAGAGAGAGAGATTTTAAAAGCTGGGAAACTTTAGAACTTATAACTCTTTCACAATAACATTAAACTTTTCTCCCCTCTTCTCTAAGATAGGGATTGTTTGGTTGGTTGTAAAATGAATGCAGTGCAAAATAAATGCATTGTAAAGTAAATACTTTAAGTCTATTTGGTTGGCTATAAACTGAATACAGGAAACTTTATTTTCCTATTTGATGAATGCAGAGTAAAGTAAAATCACTTAAATCAAAATGGCATGTACTCACGGTCGCTCGGGACGAACAAAGAAGATGCAAATGCAATAGTCGCTATTTGAATTTAAGCAGAGACGGGTGAATGGGGGAAATCATTGAATGGTTAGACCCTTGTGTGCGGCTGAGGGAGATAAGTCTTTGGCCCTTCTTGTGTGTAACAAAGAGATCAGAGGGGACTGAGCTTCATCCCTTGGCATGCGCAACATATCGAACGAAACAGGAATGAGAGAGGCTTTGGCCCTACTCACGCGAAGCAGGATCTTTCTGCGTGCGAAGTCGAATAGAAATGATGGAGCCGAAGAAGCGACTCCTCACATAAAGCAGGATCTTCCTGTATGCAAAGTCAAATAACAACAATAGAGTTGAAGAAGTGACTCCTCACACAAAGCAGGATCTTCCTGCATGTGAAGTTGAACAGCAAAGATGGAGCCGAAGAAGCAACTTCTCAAGCGAAGCAAGATCATCCTGCATGCAAAGTTGAAAGGCAATGGAGAAAAGAAAACCCTGGTACAGAACTCTGCCTCAGGCGAAGCAGGAGGAAGAAATGAAGGAGTATTCCCGTGGGCTACTCTCTCGCGCGCGCTTAAGGAATTTCTTATTCGCTCGATTTGAGCAGGTTTAGTTTGCCCGCATAATGAACTAACGCGGAGAATTCAAAATTTTACTTTACTCAATTGTCCAACCAAATACCAAAAAAGTGAAAAAGCAAAGCATTCACTATGCTTTGCATTTCTTTTCTTCCAACCAAACAACCCCTTAGTAGGTTGAATCATATAAAATCATGGTGTTGTCTCCTAACTCTTATCTCTCTTCCTTATACTTCTCTCATATACCCATAGGTCGGAATTTTTCCCCTGTCAAAGATTATTTAGCTTTTAAGCTTACCATTCCTCTTTTTCCTTTTAGTGAAATGATAAAAACTGTAGTTCAATTTTATTCATTCTCCTCTCGGACCACTTCTTACCATCATAACTAGTGACTATGTTTTAACTATCAATCCAATTTATGAGATGGAAATTTTCAAATAGACACAATACTAAATGCAGCGCAAAATATTATCTAGGCTAATAAATAATTATGCCTATGTTAGCTTCAAAATTATAGTTAAGATTGACTATTACTTCGTGGTTAATCATTATTACTCGTAGATTAATACTTTCAAGTTTGATACTCTTTTCCCAACAATTAACATTAATGAGTAGATTTATGAAGAAAATGTTGCATTAACATTCAAGGTCGAGAAGTTTGATGACTCAAACGTGTTTTGGACTATAAATAACCATATTTTTTGAAAAAATTGAAATTTATCACATACATTTTATAAAAGTGCATAAAAACAATTACAATTTAAGAAAAGTTATTGCTGGGGACAAACCTTTAATATAAGAGCCAAGTATAAATTTGTTTCATTTTTTTTCAAGAAAAAAACAACTATGTGAGGAGTAGAGATCAAAATCATGACCTTATGATTGAGAGCTGGGGTATGAACAATTAGGCCAAGTCTTTGCTGACAAGTCTTTGGATGACAATGATGCACAAAGTTTTTGTCTAATAGGGTATTGTTAAGGTATATATGGGGTTTGTTAAGATGCTTAAAATTATGAGTAGAGAAGATAAAAATAGATGAAAATAATTTGTTAACAATTGAACTAAGTTTGGTGGATAAGATTTTGAAAGAGTATTAAAGGAAACAATTAAAAATGTCTTATTTTTCTCTTTGACCGCTTCTTACCATTCACAATCACTGACCTTGCTTTTACAAGCACTCCCCATTTATGACCGGGAATTTTCCAAATGAGCATGACAGATTATGCAGTTACATAATATGATATAGGCTAACAAAAATTTTATGCCTGCCTTAGCTCCAAAATCTTAGGAAAACTTGAATATTACTTTATAGTTCATTAAATTCACTCATGGGATAATGCTTCCAAGTTAGACAGTTGTTTCCTAACAATTGGTATGTGGGAGAAGGTTTATGAGGCAATATTATCATTAATATCAACAAGTTTGATGGCTCAAAGAATTTTAAGCTTTAGAGAACTATGATGCATGGAGTTTTAGTCTAACAGGTGTGTGCTAAGATGCCTAAAACCATGTGTAAGAAAGATAACATAAAGATGGATGAAATGACATTTCAACGATTCAACCGTCTAGTGGATGAAGCTTTGATAGTGATCTAACATAAACCAATAGAAGGTTTAAGGCTTTAATTTGGAGTATTTGTATACAACCACAAGCCTCTAAAATAAATATGATTAAAAGAAAAGATTGAACTTGCTCGAAACTTATTAAATCATATTAAAATGAGTTTAATTCTATTATTTGAGATTTTAAGGAATAATAGAATGATTGTTGATGATGAATATCAATCATATTGATATATGCTCCGTATCGCCCTCCCATATAAAAATTTCATGACAATATGTTATATGAGAAAGATAATGCAAACTCATTGGATGAAAAAAAAACTTACTTCCTTTTAAAGATCTGATTATTTGTTGGGGGAGATCTTTTAAAGATAAGATATTTCTAAGTTTGAAGGTGCAAGATTCGAAAAGCCACTGATAGATTATTGGTTAGGGGAGATCTTTTAAGAAAGGGCATGCTTCTAATCACGACAGGGGTAAGTTTAAGACAAGTCCAAGGCCACGCTTCTATTATAAGGGAAAAAAAAACACACATACAAAATGAATGCTATGCTTTGTAAAAAAGGGAGTAACAAGCAAGTGAGAACAACAATGAGGGAAAAACACCATATGCAAAGGTTGTTGTAAGGGGCTTTTTTGGATTTGCATTGAGTTTATATAATGAGCAATGAACTAAACACTCACTAAACAAACCTCTATAATTTTAACATGTATAAAAAAAGCATAATAGAAGTTTTTATGCATGCATGTTATGAAGCACAAACTCAGTAATGGAACACCCATTAATCATCCAAACCATATCAAAACTTTAATAAATTAGGATCAATTTGTATTATCATAGTTGTTTCTAACGTTTATTTTGGAATAAAATATATCAAACATAATTTTTAGCATCATGAACACATGTCAGCTATGATGCATAGACACGGACATGACAATATGGATACAACACGATACAAATACGGGACACATCAATTATTGAAAATATAAGACACGGACACGAGTTGGACATGTTATTATAAATTTTATATTTTAAAAATAGTGTATAAAAATTGAATAAATATAATATTAAAAATAATTTAGAAATAATAAGTCATTTAATTAAAATTTGTGCTTAAAATGATTAATATTAGGATGTCGAGCATCGATGTCGTGTATCAGGCATTGAGAGAGGAGACGACAATATTGTCAACAGTCGGACATCGATGTTATGCAATAAGTATTGAGCATCAATGTCAATAGGGCGTCTGCCATCAATGTTGAGAGGGCGTTGGTTGTCGATGTTATGAGTTGTCAAGTTGTTGGTGTAGAAATTTCTAGCATCGAGCATCAATGTCAAGACAATGTCAAATTTTGATGTTGAGATTGTTTTGAAATATTGATGTTGTAATGACGTCAGAGGTTGATGTCATTGAGCCTCTGACTTCATTGAGCATTGTTGTGAAATCAAAGTCGCAACTTGTCAAAGAAAAATGAAAATGAGAATATTCCATGAATAGAGTATTAAGTGCAAGTGATTGCTTTTGTGTTGTGGATAAGAAATAAGAAAATTTAGTTTTTTATATTTTAAATAAATAAAAAATTGAAATACATGAAAGTATATTTAAAAAGAAATCATAAAATATTTAAGGCACACATGTCGGACACACGTATCCAATTTGTATTAAATATTTTTTAATCGATCATGTTTTTGGCGTATCCGACACATGTCAGAAGAATGTCATATGCATGTCGTGTCAGATACGTGTCGGAGACTGCACGACTCTTTGAAGAGAAGTGATGGTGCATCATAGCATGTCAATCAACCTTCATAACTTACACGCTAAATTAAATTTCATATAGTGTACAATTATGCAATGCACTTATATTTTGTTTTCAATGTATTTTATTTAGAAAATTATAATTTAATTGAATGTTAATAAAATAAAAAAACCATTTAATGATACTACTACCTCAAAACAAATTTAAAAAAAAATGCTACTTGAAAAGAAGCTCGTCCATTTTCATAATATTTAAAATTTTCTCCATCGTAAATTTGAACTTTAATTACATACTATCTAAAATATGGTTGAATATTAAATTTTATTCATATTGATTTTATAAACATGAAAAAATCAATACTTTGAACTGCACTTTTGATTTTTTAACATATGCTTAGAAAAAATGTGACAATTATTAGTGTAAATAAAAGTTTTAATCACATATTTTTATTAAAACGACACAAGCAATCATCAAAATGTTGAAAAAAACATGATTTAAAAAAAATTATTTTCAACATATACAAAAAAAAAAGCAACAAAAAGTCTTTATCCTACTATGTGGGATTAACTAAATGAATTTTTTTCCCAATGGTCTCCTATTAAGAGCAAACTCTCATTTAATAAAAAAGTATCATTATTAATAATTTCTAACTTTTTTTTTAGGTCAAACTCTACCTTTCTTAAAATCAATCTATAAATGCTAATCTCTTCTTTCTCTCTTAATTTCTCATTAATTTTATATTTTCCCATTCTTCTTATGATTCCGTGTTAAAATTCATTTAATGTCTCGTTTACGTTCAACTAATTTAATTGATCAAATTCAAACAGCCACGCAACATTGCAGCTTTTCTTAAACTCATTTACAACCAAGGGATAATAACTACCTTTCATAACTTTTATTGCTAAAACATAGGTTAAGCTCTGAAATTGCACTTCTCATACATTAAATTTATGCTTAAATTAAAAAATAATAAATATAGAAATGGCCGGTGGGGGCGGTATAAATAAGACACCAAATGCTCTGCTACCAGATTCGGAGAAACAGTGAATGGTTGAAGGTGCATGTGACACAATAAATTATACGGAATGAGCGTTGATGGCCCCCCGCTTACTGTAAGTCTAGCTTTAATAATTTAGATGTTCAGCTAAGTCATAAATAATCCAGGCATTTAATATTTCATTAATTATATGGCTATAAAACACATTTTGTTCAAATTTTATTTATTTATTTTTTAAATAACACTCAAATCTTATTTATTTATAGAGCCCTCATCCTTATCCCTTCTGTTAAATTCCCACCAAAATATTAAATCTCACAGTTAAATTCAAATTTTCGTTAAAACTCTTGATAATTTGATAATGGCATGCACAAGTACATAAATTTAATATTTTTAAGGTATTTTTAGATTTATAAATATGATTATTTGTGTGTTGTACGGTAATTTTGCATATATATAGATAAGAGTAAAATATTATGTTCTTGTTAAAAAATTATATTTGAGTTAGTAATTATATTTGATTAACAAGTTTAGATAATATTTTTTATGAAATTTGATGCATCCTATCCAAATCTTTTTTATTTATAACATCAAAGTGAAAAAAACTAGCAAATTTTTTGTGTGTTCTAAGATCAAATCATTTAAAATTTAATAAAGTAAAAAAAATAATATGAATTATAATTTTGTTATGCTCTTCCATATTTGGGTTGCATTAGTATAATAGAAATAGTTAATATTAATTTCATATATAAACAAATTTTGATCATTACGTTAAAAATTGCCCTCAATTTCGTATCTAAATTAAAGAGTTTATCTGACAAGCTTCTTTATATCTATCAAAATCTTTATAAAACTTGATAAGTAAATATTATATTTTACATCACGTAAATTTTCATATTAATCAACATCTTTTTATAATATCTAACAAGGGCATCAATTTAATTTGGGAACAATCGGGAGCTGAAAATATATTTTACTATATTTATACATACATATTTGGAAAATGACTATGGGAAGCCCAAAGACCTCCACAATAGCATTCAAACCCTATTATCTGAATAGCCGCCGCCCACCAATAAATATTAAAAAAATATGAAAAGAGTCAAACAAATCAACGGTATTAAAATCCATCATAATCAGAATTTAATTCTAACTCAAATTTACCTTTTGTCCCAACCTGAAGCTATCAAACCATTCTTAATTTATAACCATACGCAGCTAAATATACCGATTTGTAATAAACTTACTAACCTCTCCAATGCCGGAAGAAGCCCCCGTTATCAGAGCCACCTTTCCCCTAACATCTTCTTTGCAAAAGGGCTTAACGAAGACAAATGCTGTCAGTCTGCAAATCCAGGCGATGGGGAGATAGAATAGCAAGAACACAGTAATCAAAACATGCATAATCACGCTGAGAAAGCTATTGAAGATATCCATCGCTGGTTTATATCAGAAATTAAAAAAGAGAGAGTTAGAGATTTGAATTCTCCGCCGAAGAGACAGAGAATACAGAGAGAGAGAGAGAGAGAGAGAGAGAGAGAGAAGCGTTATCTGAACTTCAGAGGAATAGGCACGGGAGGGACGGAGAAGGGCTTTTTGCCTTTTTATTGGCTGCTTGAAAATAAAATGTGGTCCCGTTACCGACGGTGATCGGAAAGCATGATGACCGTGATAAACGACTTTAGGGACAGTGACCCGCATGGAACAATGATGCGGTGGGTTCATTAAATTGAGAAATGGGGATGACCACCACCCAAATCCCCAACTGCCTCTTTATTTTTTTTTTATTATTTTTTTTTTAGAGAATTTCTAACGTCTTCTTCTTTAGAATATGTTTTTAAATTGAGAGATAATGAAATATTGTTTTTCTCGAAAGACTTTTAGGTTCAAAAGGGGGGTCTTTAATGGGCCAAAAATTATATGCGAAATTCTCCACAATAAAAAAGAAAAAAATAATATCGAGGAAGAGTAAAATTGGTAAAATATTCTAATTAAATTTTAAAAAAAATTTGTTTTTAAATTTTTTTTAAAATTGATTTTATAAGAATTTTCAATTTATTTCTAATTATATTTTAAAATTCAGCCAATTATAAATATCCACACATATGTTGAGATATTGAAATTAGATTGGAGTTAATATTCATAATTAACTCAAGCTCTATATTGTCTCCAGATTGACTTCTACTTCTTATAATGTCTTAGTCTCGACTTAAAAAAGTAGTAACAATTTAAAAATAAATCAATCTTCACGTTTAATTTAGGATACACGTGGGTATTTACCCCCTCCCAAACATTGTTTCATTGATCCTAGGGAGATTCGATTCGGCCTCTTTCACACAAGTTAACATTGTTGAGCAATGCTCTAACAAATAATTTCGGATAGGTCAAATATCATTAGTAGATTCTTTCAGCCACTTCCACATAAGTTAACATTATCGAGCAATGTTTTGACAAAAAACTTCGAACAAGCCAAACATTCTTAATTATTTCTCTCAACCTCTTCCACACAGGTTAATGTCATTATGTAACGCTATGAAAAACAACTTCAAATCGGTCAAACATCCTTAATAGATTCTCTCGGTCTCTTCCACACAAGTTAACATCATCGAGGAACTTTCTAACAGACAACCTTATATGTGTCAAATATCCCTTGTGAATTTTTTTAACCTTTTTCAATGCAAGTTAACTACATCGAACACTACTTTAACAAATAACCAAAGACACATATTCATTCAAAGATCTTAAAAGTCTCAAAAGGCACAGACTCATTCAAAGATCTTAAAAGAGATGAATCCAATGATCCAATGAACTCAAATTAAAGGACCAAAGTATACTTGAAAGATTCATAGCATCAATTGGAGAACCAAATGATATTCGAATATGGCATGCATATAGTCAAATCAAGTGACTCAACGAGGCAAATTTAGCGAGACCAAGATCACTCATTTCTGACTTCATTAAGGCATCTAAATGTCTGATAAATGCTTTATGATCATGGAAAATAATACCAACCATCAAATGAAACACTCTCATGCTACCGTTGATATTCTCTCTATTTACTAGACATGTAATTTAAAAAAAAAAAACTATAAATAGCCCCTCATTCTTCACATGAGGGGGTAGTAAAAAAAGGTGAAACTTAAGAGCTCTCTTGCTCCATCCATCTAACGCTGCCATCATCAGATTTCTCTTCGATCACCTTCAACTGCCGACCACAATCCCTCTCATATATTTATTTATTTATTTGATGTTTCTAAACATTCAATTCATGCCCCTTCAAAAAAGAAAAAAAATAAAAGAATTTATGTACTCCGTTAAGAGAACTTGTTAGCTCCTTGTACCCCATTCATAAAACTTGTTAGCTGTACCATTACTCTACCTTATAATACAACTAATAAATATAAATGATTTAATAAAAATATTAATTGTATTATATAAAGAGAAAACTTAGGTTAAGATATAATTATTAAAATTTAATCATGATGAGCTTTATAAAATTAAATTTGTTTTGAAATAAGTATAATATATTACTAATAAAATAAAATTTATATTATAGTTATTTTAAAATATATATTTAATGACCCTAAACCGTATACTAATTCAATGTAGCTAGCTTAGAATATTTTACCCAAATTTTTTATTTACATTTTTAGTCATTCAATTTTTATAGATGCTCATATCATCAAAATAATTTCTCTTTAAAAATTATCCGCTTAAATCAAAATCCATTAAGGATCCAAAAATATTATGAATAATGCTTAATTCCTTAAGTATACAATAGATTTCTTTAATTCTTGTGAGTATATAGAAACGTAAGATTTCTTTTTATATTTTATATACATTATATAAGCATCCTAATCTCCACTATATATATACGTTAGATGCATATATGTATACGTTTTATAGAAATTAATTAGCAGGTAACTGACGAGTCACAATAGAAAAATTCGATCTCTCGAAGGACCACTTAAGAGATTCGCTCAGAACTAACCAAAGAACTTTCCCGCAATGACCAACATATGTCACTCTCTTGGGCCTTCCCAAAATCTCTCCTTTAGGATGTCATTCTCACCAAACTTAGGTACATGATGGCACTCATTTGTGGACCTCCAATTTGACTCACTACGACCATTCGAGCAAGTGGTATCCCTTCTCATGACAGCATCTCAATCGCCCTTCTTTTCTTAGGGTGATCCCAGAGCTTCCATCAAGGTTGCCGGCCACATCAACTGATTCACCAACTGCTAATCCCCTTTAAATTCATGTCAATATTTACTTGCAGACTATCCCAAACACATTCATCCTCATCTACTCAATATCACAAAGCTCGCCTAGATCAGGAAACTCGTTAAAGCCTCTCGAACTTTCCCTCCTTCAACCAATCAGGAGGCGACAAGAATATATGGCAATGTATAGCATTGTATGGGTATTATGTGTTACATTGTACCTTTTGAATTTTCATGTGAAGCCTTTCATGTAGCCATGCCATCAAAGCCCTATAAGCAAGGGATGATGAGAAACAATTTGAAGAACTTTTTAAAAGAGCATTTTAAGACCTTTCTGGATTGATAGTGGATACTCTGGTCATGTACGTAAGTCTCATATTCTCTTAAGCTTCTTACAAATTTTCCTTTATTCTCTCCATTCTCCATTCTCTCCGTCCCTAACTCACCAGTTTCTACCTGCTAATAAGGTATGGTGTCTTTGGATCAAACACTAGATTACAATTAAGATAATTCAAGTAATCCTCCTCTGGGCTACCATGCTATCATGCTACCAATCCAATTACAAATATTTCTTTAATTGAAAATAAAATAAATACTTATTTTAAAATTTGTCAATATATCATCATATATGACTTCATTCGCGACATCTTTTTACTACTTTTTAAAGCAGTTTTTTAATATAAAATTTTTTCGAGCTATAAATTTTATATTAAAATGCTACTTTTAAAAACAGTAAGAAAATTTCTCTAAACAAAGAAGAAGTCTGAGTTTTCACTTCATGAATAATATTCTTTGATAGCATTCTTCTAGAGCATTTATAATCACCATAAACTCTACAAATTTATTTTTGAAGTGGATTTATAACCACCTCAAAATCTTTGCAAAATTTATCCACCATTAAGAATTTTCGCAGTGTCTA